AAGACAAACAAACAAAAACCCAAACCAAAAAAACAAAAAAACCACATAACCAAGTGGGATGGTGCTTTTAATTTCAGCACTGGGGAATCAGGCAGGTGAGCTCCAGGACAGCCAGGGCTACACAGTGAGACACTATCTCCAAAAAAAAAAAAAAAAAAAAAAGCTTGCATATTTGGCTGGATTTAGAAAAAAAGCCCTACAATTCTTTGTTGTTTTGGGTGAGTGTGCCTCTGCCTCCTGTGTGCTGGAAATAAAGGTGTGTCCTACCACACCCAGCTTGTTGGTTTAGTTTTCTTTGTTTCTTTCTTTTTTGGAGACAGGATCTCCGACTCTGTAGCTCAGACTGGCCTTTAACTTGTGGCAATCCTCTTGCTTCCTTCCCAAATGCTGGTATCACTGGGGTGAGCCATGACTCCTGATTAAATTATTTCTTTGATAGTATGCCTGGGTAGGTTTAGATGGCAGGCTGTTCCTCCTGGTAGTCGCTGATGCTAGCCTCTTAGAGTCATTATTTCATAGCAATTGAGAGATGTTGATTTTTCTTAACATTTTTCTGCTTTTCAGTGAAATTTTTCTATAAATCTTACTCTCATCTTTTAAAGAAGTAACTAAAAGAAAAATAAAAATGAAATAACTCATAATAAAATAATGTCTTTCAGGTATTAGTACTCAGGACTGGCATGTACTCAGTAGAGAGAACACTTACCGAGCACTCATGAAGTTCTGAGTTTGATCCCTAGCTCTATTCCCCCCTACCCCAGGCAACCATCCCAAAATGTCAGTGTTCTAAAACAAGAAATGTGTTGTATTAGCAGTTCATGTACTACAAACAGTGTTACTATGGGTGCTGTTTCTTTTTGAACAGCTTACGGTGTCACATTCTAAATTGTTATACTGCTGATGATCTCAGTGTGTATTAAAATCATGCAAAAGTCCTTAGTATCTACATGTAAAATTGAGTTAGTATCTACATTCAAATCATTATGATCAGTTTTTCCTATTGGTACATTTGGAAGTCATGTGAAAGATGGGGCAATTCTTTAGTTGTTCATCACATTGCAGGTGTCTAGACTACCTGGCCAAATTTTCATAATACCTGTTAGGATGTAATATCACCCATATCAGTAACCACCGATCAGGTGAATACAGTAAGATAAGATAGGAAATCAAATAACCAATCTAAATAGATGTTTGATATAAATAAACATTTGAAATTCAGAAATAAAAACCATCTTTTGCTACTATTGTTTTACATCTTAACCTTTAGAGACTCTAAATTTTTATTGAATTTTTAATTGTTTATGTGTCTGGGTGTCTGTGTATGTACACTCCACCATGCCATGGCTCAGAGGAGTTGGAGGACAATTTGTGGGAGTTGGTCCTCTCCTTCCACCTTGTAAATCCTAGGGATTAACTTAATCCTAGGGATTAAGTTTAGGTTGTCTGCAGGCTTGGTAGCAAGGGCCTGCTGATCCATCCTCACCTGCCTCTTATTTTGTTTTTTCTTTTAAATTTTTTTTTGCATTTATTTATTGGTTCTCTCTCTCTCTCTCTCTC